ATGCTGGTAGTAACCCCAGAACATGATAGGAGATAAGAGAGGGGGGGGGGGGGGGGGGGGCAATGGACATGACGCCCAGATAACAGTCAGGTGAGAACAGCGAGCCCAAGAGGAGCCGCAGGGGAGATCGCAAGGCGTGGGTTAGAGACGGAGAGGGCGAACAAGCAGAAACCGAAAGAAGAGATGCATGATACCGCTGTACATTCTCCAATACCGCTCATGCTCATCACTACTTGCTCCTCCACGAAGAGCAAGGGAACTTGGCGAACAAGATTAGCATCAATTCGCAATCCCAGCAAAAGGGAACTTGGTCGTTCAACAGCACTTGGCGAACAAGATCAGCATCAATTCGCACTCCCAGCAAAGGGAACCCACTTGTTTAACAGCAAGGATCGAAGAAGATCAAGGACCTTCGTCACCTGGCACTCCCAGGAAGGGCACAAACTTCATGGAACATCAAATTCTTTGTCATTCCACCCCACACCCCCAGCACGGATACTAGAAGGTACAGCACTGAGTAGAGGCCGGAACGACTATCATGTGAAGACAACAACAACAACCATGTCATAGGCAAATCGAGAAATACAAGAAGGCCGCTACGTGCATACTTACCGGGCACACGCTTGCATTGAAAGGGTGTGGGTGGTGTTGGAGGAGTCGTGTGTTGCGTTTTGCAGGGTGGAGGCGTATTCGATATTCTATATTCGATAGTCTACAGAACTGCAAGTTCTCTCTCGCGATGTATATTTTCAACAGCACCACAGGAAGACTACAATACCGCAAGGCAATCGGGTTGTACCCCGCGGCTCACTACCCCGCCCTACAATAACAGTGAGAAATTAAAAGCAGTAGAGTAGAGACCGGCACTATTGTTCATACGAAGAGCGAAGTCAACAACAACAACAACAACCACAACCCTCTGTTGTGGGAGGATCGAGAAACAAAAATAAGGTCGTTTCTGCTCACCGGGCAGGCGCATCTTGTCCTCCTCAGGCATGCCAGTGAGACCGTCTTGGAAGTCCTTGATGATGCCGCTCCAGGACTCCATCCTGGCAGCTCTCTCGGGGTTCTTGGTGAAGTAGTTCACCTCTCGAAGAGGGGTGTCCTGTTGCGATCGATTAATTCAGGTTGGGTATTGTGCGCTTGAGGTCAGTCGGGGTTGTCTTAGGGTTCGATTCTCGAAAAGAGGAAAGAGGAAGGCTATCGGTGTGATTGGAGTCGAATTGAGGGTGGGTTGTAAATTGGAGTTGGGTATAATTCAGGTTGGGTCTTGTGCACTTGAGTTACGTCCGGGTTGTGATAAGCGTGTTTTACAGCGTGAATTAAGTCGGTACTGGCGAAATCTCTCCGATCTCGTTGTTTGACGTAGATTTACTATTAATAGAGCTGTGTAACGCCCTAGCCTCCACGTTCTCAGCCTCCCATCGTCCGTCCCCCTCCCCCCCCGCACGCTATCCTGCACACCCTACCACCGCAATACCCTCTGGGAGACAAAGAACAAACATCCCACAATCTTCTTCAACCACAAGCCAAGCACTAACAATTCACTCACCCCCGGTTTGCAGGGTACCCTATCGACGATCATGGCCAGCAGTCCCATGAACTCGACCTGGACCCCGATGTTTTCCGCGTGGTCAGCGTGCCGACCTGTGACGAACTGCAAACGCGCGCGCGTGCGCAGCAGCACCCAAACACAGCAGCACCCGAACACAGCAGCACACCCAGCCCATGCACAGTCGTACACAAGACGCCGTAGCAGCAGCAGCAGCAGCAGCAACAACAGCGGTGGTAGCAGCACCAAACACAGCAGCAGCAGCCGTAGCAGTAGCGGCGGCCGTAAGCGGTGCAAGTAGCAGCGGTAGAACCGACGGTAGGAAACGAAGACACGGGCCGTGCGAGGCGACCAGCAACGGGTGACGAGGGTGAAGAGAGAGAAGCACGTCACGGGCCAAGAGCGATAGCGCAAAAAAGAAACAAAGAATATCGTTCTTGAAGTTCAAAATCAGACCTATCTTTCCCAACAGACCACAACACAACAAACAAAACAACGGCCAGGATTCCGGGTTTGGAGGTATCTTCTGCCGTGTAGTTGGGGGGGGGGGGGGGACTCATGTGTTGTATGCCTTAGCTGTTTGACCATTGACCACGCGTCCTCTGAGAGGACGGAGCTTTGCTCTATCCCACAGGACCGATCGCCGATGGCCAATCGGTCTTACGGGTTGTCTGACTTCAGTGACTAGAGTACTTTTCAGAAATCGGCTGTGGAGAGAAGATATCTGACAGTGTGGAAGGTTTTACAGCATGTCATTCGCACCAGCGGACTCCCCTTTCGATGCTGGAGATACAAGTGCTCTATCAACGTACTCTTGCGGTGTTCGGGTCTGTGAAAAATCCACCTTTGATCCCATTGGTCTAATCACGCGAAAACATTAACAAGACGAAGCCGAATGGCACCGTGTCTCAAACCGTCTGCAAGTCTACCGTCGTAAACAACCAACCTGCACCATCCCTTTCGTAAAACACCCGCGTCAGACCGGCTCCTCTCACCCCCAAGTCGCGCTCAACGCGTGTCCAAAACGCTTTTCTTGGTATTACATAGTGCCGAGTGTCACCCAGGGCATAATATCTTTTGCCCGTGGTTGCCCCCCGGCCAGAGCGGCCACACCCTCAGAAGTGCCTTGTTCGTTTGACGACGCCCCGACTTGTACGAGAGTGCATCACGCAAGAAATGCTGAAGCGGCCATCGCATCCCAAAAATTTCGGATGCGGCGGTCGCTTCTGCATCTGTTCCATGTAGCACTCCCGGCACAAGCCGGGGCGTTGTCAAACGAACGGGGTGTGGTCACTTTCGCTCGGCGCAACCACAGGAAAGAAATGTATCACCCTGGTTCACACTCGGCGCCCCTAAGGAAAAAGAAAAGTTAAAAATGCCTCGAAACAATCCCGTATCCAGCTGGTGTTCTTCCCACAGACTTCAACACATCCCTTCGAATATGGTACAATCTAGAACGGGTAGGTCTTTCTTTGGTTGTATATAAACACTTGAAAAAAATCATTTTTGGACACCCGTACAATAGCGGGATGTGGTAGTGAGAAAAAACGTCTCTGTCTGAGGGGACATTTCACCCAAAAGGAGAGTAGCTTATGTGTTTCCATCATTACTATAGAGGTCAACAAGGATTGAGTTGGTCGTGGTAGAGCAACGTGTGTGAACAAAAAGCTCGACGATCTTCACGCGATTTCCGAAGCGCAACTGCTGCCACCACATCAGCACCACCAACAAAAACAACAGCAACATCGCCACCACCACCAACAACAAATCCAAATCCTTGTACACCAACGGCAAGACAAATTGACTGAGGCCGGTCACAGAGATGGCTACCGCAATAACGGCTTGATTGCGCGTGCTTTTCACTCGGCGCTCCTCCGAGCAATCGTGCAGACCTTGGAGCCAAGCAAGCAAGCAAGCAAGCAAGCAAGCAAGCAAGCAAGCAAGCAAGCAAGTACAGCAGCGTGGCTCCGACACAAGAGGGTACCTTACAAGAGGGGCTAGGCTCCGATAGCAGAGGTTCGAAATCGGTTGTCCCGGACTCCACCCTGAAAATTCTACTTAGTAGTTGGGGTACACCTTCTTAGTCCGGTATAAGAGGGGTTAGGCTCCGATATAATAGGGTCGACGACCTTTGTAACACCACGCCCTTAAACCGGAGCCACGACCGCAACAAAATAAACGACCATCTACCGCAGCAACGCCACTGACATGCGCCATGAACGTGTCCATGAGGTGGGCCAGCATGAGCGACTCCGGAAGGAACATGCGCAGCTCCCACACCGCCACAAGGAGCATCCTACGTCATACCATCATCGCGTGGGACGTGGGGGCAGCAGGGAGGGTGGTGCGAAAGCGAGAGAAAACACATGGTAATTAAGTCTACAGGAAAAGAACAGGTGCTCCGTGAAGAATCCTAAACTACAACCTACAACACAGGTGCGCAGTGAAGATCCCTCTAGTACCCACCATGCAGGTGCTCAGCTAATAATCCCATATTAAAACCAATATAAAAAGTCACAGCTAGGTTACACCCCACAGAGAAAAAAATAAACGGGCTCGGGGGCTAAAACAAGAGCTAGCTTCTCAAGTGGTGACAGCGGCTTCTGCAATCCGCAGAGCAACAAACAACCGTTGCCACGAATCTATCGCTGTGTGGGGGGGAGGGCGAGCGGACGTTCTCCCTCGTTCCCTTGTGTGTAACGATTGTTTTGTCTACCCTCCTGCATGTTGTCTGTATTTAGCGCATCCATACACTCCCCCCGCCCCCCGCCCCCGGTAGGCCCTTGTCAAGCCATTCCCTACCTGGGCGCCTTAAGGTCGTTGTCACCGTCCAGGAAGCCCAGCTGCCGCATGATGCCCTGTGAGGTTTCCGTGTAGTGCTCGTCCGGCTGCGCAAAATAAAATAACGATACAGGAGGGAGAACGTCTAACACATGAAAACATTAATGAACGGTTGAGCGGGCGGGGGCACGACTGATAGTGTTGCCGAGCGCGGCTCTCTCGTGAAAACGGGTGATGGATCTCTACGACTTTTGGGATTGGTCTACATGGGGGGGTATCCTTTCGACCGCAGCGGCAGAACAAGTTAGAAAAGGTGTGTGGGGGGGGATGATGCAGCGGGAGAACAAGCTAGAAATAAGGGGGGGGGCATGACATACGAATATCGTGGCTTGTGGGGGACTTCACCCCACCCCACCCCATCCCGAGTTGCAGAGACGGGGGTGCTAGGGAGCACACACCCTCCCGCACCGCGATGGCGTTACTGTAGACCAGAAACCGTGTCGGAACTCGTCAAAAACAGCCCACGCCCGCCCTCCAGTGGTACATGTACCTTTTGCAACCCACAACACTATCTTACGCTACCTCTATACAATCTCGTGCGGGGTGTGCCACAACAGTGAATCAGGGAATAATGGCAGTAGGGTAGGCCCGGGTGGGATGATGGAAAAGTCGTGGGGGTCCACGACACATGCTAAATCTCCAGATCCAGGAGCTTCAAAAAGTTTCATGAGCTTGACAAAGTGTTATAATAGACGGAACGAAGGAATCTGGGGGTTGTGGAGGCGGACTGAATCGCTCAGCAGTGGCACGAAAGAATGTTGTCCAGGTTTCTGCCACGAAATGTCGAGAGTTCTACAACTTCTATGAACCCAAGGGCAGCGGGTGGTTCCGGTAGTGACCTGGATGGCACCTTATGCAACCTAGCGTTGTCTAGGGCTCTGCTACGAGATCCTTACAACGGGCAAGAGGGCGGCTTGGTGCGCTTCGTACAAAATAGGAACACCCACCAGAATTTTCTCGTTGAACTCTTGTAGGGTCCTCGAGGCCATTCGTCTCCCCATCTGGGCGTCCACGAAGTTCATGCCTCCGGGGGTTTCCGCTGCACCACAAAAACAAAAAAAAGCACAAAAAGAGCGATCTGTGAAGTACGACAGCAGTGACAACAGGCGAGGGTTTGGTTTCTTGCCAGAAGGAGCGGCTAACAGCGCACCGGTAACGCCAAACGACAGGGCGACATCATCATTGCCTTTGCCGCTGCTGCTATCACTAGCACCACCACCGCCTCTGCTCCCACCGGGAACAGCAGCAGCAACACAAGCATCAATAACAGTAGCAGCAGCAACAACAACAACAACAACAGCCCCACCACCGCTATGGACGGCCCCAAACACCACCACCGCCCTCACCAGAGAGAGCGTGATGGAGAGCAATGGTAGGGTATTGGGGGTCCTGCCCCACGATGGCCGGGATGTCTCCGAGCATGAGACCCTGGATCTTCGGCCACGCCATGTTCATGTACAGCAGGTTTCCCTGCGTGTCGAGTCCACGGCGCCCCGCCCTTCCAGACATCTGCTGCGCCACCTGTTGTAGAATACGTCACGGAAATAACCGGCAAGGGAGGAGGAAATGCACGGGTTACCATGATACAACCCGCAAGGGAAGAGACATTTCACGGGATACCACGAAATAACCCGCAAGGGAAGAGGCGTTTCACGGGTTGCCACGGAACAACCAGCAAGGGAAGAGGCGTTTTACGGAACACCATGAGGCCGTCACACGGCAAAGCTTGGCGCCAGAAAAAGCGCCGGAATCTTGTCCCACCTTGTACTGTTTATCTCAGACCTCAACCTCAGGATTCGCATCCCTCCCCCAAAGTAAAGATATCTAAGGTTACTCCTTTCATTTTCGGCATCCATTTAATATCGACTTCGGTCTGTTACACCTTTCGCTTTCGGTGCAAATTCTGAACGCACCAGCCAGCCAGGGTCACAAAAGGAGGCAACGCCACACAGGAGCGTTTGTTTAATTTTCTCCGCCTTCCCTTTTGCATTGCTGTCCTATGCATATAAAAAAAAAAATGATAAACAAAACCTGTCACACAAAGAGAAAAAAAAAAAGCTCACCAGGGGGTTGAGGAGCCCATCCATGCTGCCGCAGAAGCAGCACGACCGGAAGGGCATGTTCACGCCGTACGCCTGAACAATAAAAAAACAAGAAACACCCGCACAGCAACCAGTCAGTGAGCCCGTGAGTCAGTTGCTCAGGTTCCTTCTTACCACATCATCAGTGTCAACCTGCCTCATGTACTCCCAAGACTGAGAATTGCACAAGGCTGGAGGGGGGGGGGGGGGGGGGGAACGCGGCAGCACGGTCGTGCTACACAGAAGAAAGTGATAATCAAACCGCATGATGGTTGAGAAGCCGATGATGGCCAATACTAACAGCGGCAGCTATTAATATTAGACAAGTCCAAACCAAAGCACTAGACCTGTCCGTGGTTTGATTTCACCTCCCGAAACAGTTATTAGTCGTAGGGTTCGCGCCGACTATATATTTGTCTATTGGTTTGACTTCGGCTTCCAAAAAATATACTACCGACGTCGAGAGTTGCTCACACTTACACATAACCAACCAGCAAGGGGGCCCGGCAGCACCAGCAGCAGCGTGCCTCACATTGAAACCACAACAAGCACGGCACCCCTCTCGCGGCCACCGGCAAGTACCGGCGAAGCGGACCAGCTAAAAGGCAAAGACCACCCGCAGCGAGAACAGAGCTATGAACCACACACGCGATGACCCCAACAACCATGAAGATGAAAAAATGATATACAGCGGTTTTGTATCCGTACCCACTATCGACGACACTCCTGTTAAGTCTTCGAAGTCTTCAACAAGAGTGTCCTTGAAGCGCGACAATGCCCGAAATTGTACAACCCCCCGTTGTTGTTCATTCTGCGGGGCACCAAGCTTCTGAAAACAACGGTGTCCTCAAAGCGGGGAAACGAAACAATCCCCTGCTACCCTAGGTTGCGTAAGAAATCACCCCCCCCCTGGGCCAATATTAAAATCCCTATTTCTCTGCGGCACACAGGCTGACGGTGCTGGGACCTTCACACCGGGAGCTTTCTAAGAATGAATGATTTGATGTTGGCATTCTCCTCGTTGTGGAGTAATCAAGCTTTCATAGTTTACCCAAGGGGGGGGGGGGGGGGGGGGGGTTCCCTTGCACCCCCCGGGTTTGGGGGGACTTTTTGGGGGGGCCCCCCCTTAAAAGGGGGTCCCAAAAGGGGGGGGGGGTCCCCCAAAAGGGCAAAAAAGGGGGGAAACCGGGGGTTAAATTTTGGGTGTTCGACGGGGAACGGGACATTTTTCTAATCCCCAGAGAATCCTCCCCGAAAAAAAAAGAAAAGTTTTCCCCGTGGGGCAAACCCCTGCCCCCCCC